TGCCAACAGCCCTGTTGCACTTTGGAGTGTTAAAAAAGTAAGTGTTGCTTGAACCCAAGCACTGTGATGCTGTGACAGTGATATTATAATTGGCTACTAAATCTAAAATGGCTACTAAGTGACTAACATGGGTAGCAGTATACAACAGAGATACTCTTCCTATTCAGCCTTTATTCCAATGTAAGACAGCATGAGATTGTGTCATACTACTCAGAATGGTATGAAATTTGAAAGACATAACAGTCTAGAAATAATCTAGGTTTAATATATATATATATTTTGAAGGCAGAGTGGACACAGAGAAAGGTCTTCCTTTTCCGTTGGTTCATCCCCTAATGGCTGCTGTGGCCGGCACACCGCAATGATCTGAACCAGGAGCCAGGTGCTTCTGGTCTCCCATGCGGGTGCAGGGCCCAAGGACCGGGGCCATCCTCCACCGCACTCCTAGGCCACAACAGAGAGCTGGACTGGAAGAGGAGCAACCAGGACAGAATCCGGTGTGCTGGCGCTGCAGGTGAAGGATTAGCCTATTGAGCTGAGGCACCGGCCGTATGTTTAATATTTTTAAAGAAAAATATCTTCATTTCAGTAGATTATGAAAGCGCATTTGATTAGGTTGAGCAAACATTCAAGATAAATTCCTAGGAATTAAAGGCTAATTAACTAAATGTGGAGAATACATAGAATAAATTGTAGCAAACAGTTGTGTAAATAGCACAGTTAAACCTCACATCCTGTCGTTAGTTGGTAATGAGAGAAGAACGTTTATTAGCAGCGCTCTACAAGCACTGGAGGTTGTAACTAATACACCAAGAAAAAGATAAATGGAAGAGGGAAGGGCAAGAAAAAAAAAACATGATTATTTATTCTAATAAAGGAGTTGAAGATAGAAGATACCAATTTTTAAAAGTACTGATGATATTTCTAAATAATAGAAAAACTTTTGAAAATGCCACCATTTACAGTGTATTGAGCACCTTATGCCAAAGGCCGAGAAGGAGTAGAACAAAAAACTTGACATAAAAACACAAAGTAAAATGGCACTCAGTAGTCATGTAAAATGGCAGAAACTGTATTGGAGGGAAAAATAGTAAACAACTGTATGCTGTGTAAAGGAGACAAACTTTAATTTTAAAGATACAATTAGATTACAGTAAAAGGATAAAGATTACAGTGAAAGGATAGAGAAACTAGCGTGACTATACTGATACTAGACTTAATAGATTACAGCAAGAAGAAAAATTGCGATGAAAGGCATAAGAGTCCTTCATGAAGGTATTACAGTTATAAATATGTGCCTAAAAATAGTAGCAGGATATATGAAGCAACAATTGACAAATGAAGAAATACATAATTCAACAATAACTGGGGACTTCTATATATCGCTTTCATAATGAATCAACTAGAAAGATCTGCAAGAAAACAAGACTTGAGCATTACTGTAAGTGAGCTAAAATAAAGAGACATATTTTGAACAATCAAGGCAACAGCAACAGGGTACACATTCTTTTCAGGTATACATAGAACATTGTCTAATGCAGAAATTTAAAAACATTGAAGTAATATATACATTATCTGAAAACAATGAAATTAGAAATAAATACCAAAAAGAAATGTGAGAAAATCACAAATACGTAGAATATAACACACTCTTAAATAATGGGTCAAAGAAATCATGAAGGAAATTAGAAAGTACCTCAAGGTGAATGAAAATGAAGACACATCATATATAAACTTTTAAGAGTATAACTAAAGCACTTCTTAGAGAATGATTGTGTTGAGGTGGGGGGGGGATTCTCAAGTGAATAACCTTTCACTGTGAGAAACTAGAAATAGGCAAGCAGATATAACCTAAACTTATCAGAGTGAAGGAAAAATATGAGAATAGAAATTGAGAATAGGAAAATAAGAGAAAACAAAGGAAACAAAGTTGTTTGAAACTACCAACAAAATTGGCATTTAAGAAAACTCAAAATTGCTAAAATGAGGAATGAGTGACCTTCTGAAAGTTTAAAAAAAAAAAATACAGGGGTATGATGATGAACTTTGGTGTCAAATTCCTTACCCAATTTTATTTTTGGTTTGTCATAGTGTTTCCAAATGAGATTAGAATGTGAATCTGGATGGATTAGGTGGAGGACTCAAGCGTTATCAGTTAAGTATTTGGAGAGTCTAAGTATAGAAGGTGAACTCGCTGGGACGTACTTAACTCTTGCCTTGGACATCAGATACTATTTCAGCCTCAAAAAGATTTATACCCTCAATTTTCCTGCTCTGAAGCCCTTGGACTTAGAATGAGCGTTGCTATAAAGCATCCAAGAATTTGCAGCCTACAGATCAAGAAAACCTGTTGTGAACTTCTCAACTGCCATAAGCACATGAGCCAATTACCCAAGTAAATCCCCCATTTGTATGTACATACATACCTCCTGCTGGTTCTGTAGCTTTAGAGAACTCTAGTAAAAAGGATATACTGTGGAACAATTTTATGCCACTCCATTAAATAGATGAAAGGGATGCCTAAAATGACTACCAAAACTGACTGACGAAGAAAATCTGAACAAACCTGTAACACAGGCTGAATAGGATACAAAAGCCACAAATTACATGGCTTTATCGGTAAATTCCACCACACCACAAATTTAAGATAGCATCTCTTGTGGGCATTGTGGCAGAGAGGGTAAAGCCACTGCCTACAGTGGGGACATTCTGTATGGATGCTTGCCTAGGTTGCTCTACTTCTGATCCAGCTCCCTGCTAATGGCTGGGGAAAAGCAGTGGAAGATGACCTGCAAGTGTTTTGGCCCTTGCCACCCATATGGGAGACCAGGAAGAAATTCTTGACTTTGGCCTGGCTCCACCCTGGCCATTGTGGCCACTTGGGAAGTGAACTAGAAGATGTGAACTTTGTCAACAGCTCTCTCTGTAACTCCAACTTTGGGATAAGTGAATGAATGTTAAAGAAAAAAAAAAGATACCAGTTTTAAACAAATTTTTCCAAGCTGTAGAAAAAGATGGAATACTTTCTAAGTCATTCTGTAGGCCAGTTTTCTGATAACAGTAGGTCAGAACATCATAACAAGATGAAACTGCAAAGCAGCATTATGAATATGGATTCAGAAATTCTCAACAAAGTATTAGAGATTCAAAATCAACAACATAGAGCAGGGCTGGGACCCATGGACCATATAAGGCCTGAAAAGTCATTTGTTCTGGCCCTGCCAAGGCAGTCCCAGGTGTGACTTGAATTTCAATAAATCTATAACAGTCTAACTTTTAAATTGATAATTTTGTATGGCCTGTGAGTGATGTTAAAATACCCAAATTGCCTTTGACAGGAAAAAGGTTCAACACCCCAGATGTAGAGAAAGAATTATGGACCATCCTAACAAGAGCTTACCCAATAATGCAAGGCTAGTTTCCCATCTAAGAATCCATGAATATAGTATTACTATGTCGATGGAAAGAGAACAAAGTCACATGATAAGCATCTTCTCAAGGGTTGCTTAAAGTCATCTTCTGACAAAATCTAATGCCTCTCTGTGATAAAAATATTCAACAAATCGCTTCTCGGCCTTTTGGCTAAGATCAAGTACAAAGATATTTGACAAAGTAGGAAATATTTGGACTGTCCTTAACCTTACAAGAGGCATCTGGGGACAAACACTAACATACATGATTCTAAAGACGGAAGATTTTACACATGAATCTACCAAGATAACCGCTTTGGTCACTTTGATTCAGCATTGTGTTAGAGGATCAAGTTTGGGCAGTTAGTCAAGAAAATGAAATAGAAGCATCAAGATTGGAACTAGAGGCCAGCACCACAGTTCAATAGGCTAATCTTCCGCCTGCGGCGCCGGCACCCCAGGTTCTAATCCCGGTCCGGGCGCCGGATTCTGTTCCGGTTGCCCTTCTTCCAGTCCAGCTCTGTGCTGTGGCCTGGGAGTGCAGTGGAGGATGGCCCAAGTGCTTGGGCCCTGCACCCACATTAAAGACCAGGAGAAGCACCTGGCTCCTGGCTTCGAATCAGCGCGGTGTGCTGGCTGCAGCGCACTGGCCGCAGTGGCCATTGGAGAGTGAACCAACAGTAAAGGAAGACCTTTCTCTGTGTCTCTCTCACTGTCCACTCTGCCTGTCAAAAAAAAAAAAAAGATTGGAACTAGCATTGGTATAGTGGGTTAAGCTACTGCTTGCAACACTGACGTCATACAACAAAGGCCCAGTTCAAGTTCCAGCTGCCCTGCTTCCAGTCCAGCTCCTTTCTGATGCACCTGGGAAAACAACAAAGGTGGCCCAAGCTCTTGTACCCCTCTCACCCACATGGGATACATGGTTTCTGGCTTTTGTCCAGCCTTGGCCATTTTGTTAGTGAACCAGCGGATAGATGTTCTCTTTCTTTCTCTGTGTCTCCCTCTCCACGACTGTGGCTTTCAAATAAAAATCTTTTTTTAAAAATTGAGATTGAAAAGGAAGAGGTTAGATATAAATGACATGTACAAAATCCTAAGGAATCTGTAAAAAACTATTGATAAAGACAAGCTCAACAAAGTTGCAAAATACAAGATGATTGTATAGAAGTCTGTTATTTCCACATGATGCCAAAGACAGCTTTTCTAATTTATAGTGGGTTTTATTACATATAGCCCCTATATTAGCTTGTGGATTGTGATGTTTCAGCTTTGGATTTAACATCTTGTCTACTGGGTTTGTCAGGGTACTGGATGCTTTTCAGGATGTAACTCCATTGTTAAGGAGCATCTGTACTTGCAATGAACAGTCCAAAAATGAAATTAAGAAAGCTTTGATTCGTAATAGCATCAAAAGAATTATAAGGTATACATTCTGAAAACTACAAAATATTGAAAGAAACTAAAGACCTAAATTAAACATGAATCAAAGAACTTGGTAATACCAAGGTAGCAATATTTCTGTATATATTTTGCATCTTAACCCTTTGTCAGATACATGATTTGAAAATATTTTCTCCCATTTTTTAGGTTGTCTCTTCACTTTGCTGTGTTGACACTGCTTGTTTGATGTAGTTGACAGGTATTCAGTGACTGAAGATATACAGGGTGATCAAGGTTAGTTTACCTGTAATTTATTGGCAAAGTTTTACTTTATAGAGGGAGGGCAGTGCCTTAAGCAACAGCATAGGGCAAAGAAAAGGCTATGAAGAAGAGCAAATGTGTAGGCAAACAAGAAGCAACAGCTCTAAAAGCCTGGGGAGATGAATTAAGTTTTACTTCCCGGAGGAAAGGCTGTGAAGGGCTATGTCTCAAGAAGCAGCAGCACTGAGAAACTTGAAGGAATTATTTACATAAGTTGGGCTTAAGGCTGCATGAGATGGAGATACCAACAGTGGTATCTGACAAGTCTTGTGGTTGCCTGTAACAAGTAGACAGGAAGCAAACAGAATGATATGTTCTAAGAACAAGGTGTGAAGAGTTCCCGTAAAAGATGATTGGGCAGAAAGAAAACTTAAGTGTACATTTTAGTTTGAGCTGAACTGGGTGGGGTAGGGGTTCTTTTACCCTAACACTAATCCCATTTGTTTGTTCTTGGTTTTGTTGCCTGTGCTATATCCTCCCCGCCCAAATCATTACCTAATCTAGTAGTAGTTTTATAGTTTGTTTTTTTTGTTTTTTTTTTTTTTTGACAGGCAGAGTGGACAGTGAGAGAGAGAGAGAGAAAAGTCTTCCTCTGCCGTTGGTTCACCCTCCAATGGCCACCGCGGCCGGCACGCTGCGGCCGGCGCACCGCGCTGATCCGATGGCAGGAGCCAGGAGCCAGGTGCTTTTCCTGGTCTCCCATGGGGTGCAGGGCCCAAGCACCTGGGCCATGCTCCACTGCACTCCCTGGCCACAGCAGAGAGCTGGCCTGGAAGAGGGGCAACCAGGACAGAATCCGGCGCCCCAACCAGGACTAGAACCCGGTGTGCCGGCGCCGCTAGGCGGAGGATTAGCCTAGTGAGCCGCGGCGCCGGCCAGTTTTATAGTTTCAAGTCTTAATATCTAAGTAGTATATTTTAAGTTGATTTTCATATATGTTGTATAGTGAAAGCCTAATTTCTTCTGTATGTGAATGTCCAGGTTTCCCAACACCATTTATTGAAAAGACTGTCCATTTCCCATTGTGTGTTACTGACCTTTTGTAAAAAATCAATTGAAACACAATGTTGGGGTTACTTTTGAGTTCCCTTGTGTTCCATTGGTCTGTGTGTCTGTTTTTATGCCAGCACCATGCAGGATTTTTTTTTTTTTTTTTACAGGCGGAATGGTCAGTGAGAGAGAGAGAGGCAGAGAGAAAGATCTTCCTTTTTTCGTTGGTTCACCCCTCCCCCCCCCAATGGCCACTGCGGCCGGCGCACTGATCCGAAGCCAAGAGCCAGGTGCTTCTCCTGGTCTCCTATGCGGGTGCAGAGCCCAAGCACTTGGGCCATCCTCCACTGCACTCCCGGGCCACAGCAGATGGCTGGAATGGAAGAGGAGCAACCAGGGACAGAATCCGGCACCCCGAGCGGGACTAGAACCCTGGGATGCTGGTGCCGCAGGCGGAAGATTAGCCTATTGAGCCGCGGCACCTGCCCATGCAGTTTTGATTACTAAAGCTTTGTAGTATATTCTGAAATTGGCTAATGTGATTCCCGTAGCTTTGTTCTTTTTACTCAAGATTGCTTTAGCTATTCACAATGTTTTGTGGCTGCACATGAATGATCTATTTTAAGACTTATATGAAAAGTGTCATTAGAATTTTGATAAGAATTGCATTGAACTTTTAAAATTTGTATCATAAATACAACATTAGGAACATAGTAATTCTTCCCACCCTCTTACCCATTTCCCCCTTTCTCCTCCATCTTCTGCTTAGTCTGAGAAAGTAAAAGGAAGGAAGAAAAAGAATGGAATTAAAAAAAAAAAAAAAAAAGAGAAATGCTCCTCAACAGTCTAGACAAGGGCTGTTCTATGTACTGCTTCTCAAAGGTGATTTCGTTTTTTTCCCCCTTCCTCTTTTCCTTTCCTTCCTCCCCCTTCTTTCCTTTTAGAAACTTAATTGTCTTTAAAGAAGAACTCAAGGATGGTATATCTCTTGTCAGCTCTTAGACATATTTTTTTTTTAAAAAAAGATTTATTTATTTGAAAAGCCGAGTTATAGAGAGGCAGAGGCAGTGAAGTACTCCACAGCACTGGCCCTGACATAACTAACTTATGAGACATAATATGATCTTCCATTTAATAGGCTGAATGGAAGTGATTCTTGGGAATAAATTTTACTATTAAATCTCATGATGTAAACTCTTTAAGACAGCGGTCCTGCATGGGAAGTTAGTGCACAGTGACTCTTGTTTATTTAACAAATAACACTCTTGTGTATGACAGCAGTAATCACCCACGGCTCTTGAAATGAGCTGCCTCAGCTGTGGAAGCCTTTGGGATCCACTGGCTCGACAAGGTTATAAGCAAAGTGGAAGTTCTATCATTTCTTCAGAGAAAAGTACATCCTTCTTTGGTGGCCATTTCTTTCCACTAGTGTCTCACAGGGATCCATAATGTAGGACATTTTTTTCCAGAGTGTCTTGGCTTTCTGTGCCTGAAATGCTCTGTCTGGGCTTTTTAGCCACACTGGAATGCCTTTAGGGCTGATTCTGACATCAGAATGCTACTTAAAGCAATTGTCATTATATGAGTCTGCTGTATGAACTACTTTCCCTGTTGGAGCCTTCACTCCTTTTTAATTCTGTCTATTATTGTTTCTAAACACTTAGTCCTATTCATACAATCACTTTAACCTTGATCCTGTCTATACGGTCACTTTACCACTTATTCCTCTCCTTTTCATCTTTAAAACACTTAAGCTACTCTTTTTTATTTAAGGTTTATTTTTTTATTAGAAAAGAAGAGTTACAAAGAGGTAGAGAGAGAGAGAGAGGTCTTCATCTGCTTTATTGCTAGCCAAATGGCTTTAACGGTCGGAGCTGAGCCAATCTGGAGCCAGGAGTTTGTTCTGGGTTTCTTGGGTACAGGGGCCGAAGCAGTTGAGCCATCTCTGCTTTCCCAGGCCATAGCAGAGAGCTGGATCACAAGCGGAGCAGCCGGGGCTCAAACTGGTGCCCATATGGGATGTTGGCACTTCAGGTGGTGGCTTTACCTGATATGCCATAGTGCCAGCCCCTTAAGGTTCTATTTTTATCAGCCAGCTTAAGGGATTTTGGGGTCCTATGCCTAGTGTTAAGCCTTACATTTAGAAGTAAGTCCATAGGAATGTATGTACAACTACACTGCTTTGCAGTTGTGAACTTCATACATTTCATAATTAAAACTTTAAGATCTTGGTAATTCTTCCTACTGTGCGAGCCCTGCCACCCACACTCCCACCCCATTTCCTCTCCCCTTTCTTATTCTCACCCTTATTCACTAAGATCTGTTTATACTTAACTTTTTACATATATATGATTAACTCTATTAAAAGTATAGTGTTTAGGCCGGCGCCGCGGCTCACTAGGCTAATCCTCCGCCTGCCACGCCGGCACCCCAGGTTCTAGTCCTGGTCGGGGTGCCAGATTCTGTCCCGGTTGCTCCTCTTCCATTCCAGCCATCTGCTGTGGCCCGGGAGTGCAGTGGAGGATGGCCCAAGTGCTTGGGCCCTGCACCCGCATGGGAGACCAGGAGGAAGCACCTGGCTCCTGTCTTTGGATCAGCGCGGTGCACCGGCCGCAGTGCACCAGCCGTAGCGGCCACTTGGGGGGTGAACTAACGGAAAAGGAAGACCTTTCTCTCTATCTGTCTGTCTCTCACTGTCTAACTCTGCCTGTCAAAAAAGTATAGTGTTTAGTGATTCATACGAAAAAGATGAATAAAATATTATAAAGGAAAAGATAGTCAAAAATGTAGAATGAGAAGCTGTTCCTCAGCAGTTGAGAGAAGGCCTGTTCCAAATAATTTTCCCAAGAGTGTCCATTTTGTTTCTACATGTTGTCTTTAAGGTGCTATGTTATCACAGGTCAGGGAGTGCACATAGAATTTGTCTCTTTGGAACTGGCTTAACTTAGTATGATGTTTTCCAGTTTCATCCATTTTGTTGCAAATGACCTGGTTGCATTTTTTTTTTTACTGCTGTGTAGTATTCCGTGGTGTATATACTGCATAATTTCTTTATCCAGCCTTCAGTTATTGGGAATTTAGGTTGATTCCATATCTTTGCTATTGTGAATTGAACTGTAATAAACATGGAGACACAGAGAGCTCTTTCATATGCTGATTTCATTTCCCCTATATAGATTCCAAAGAGTGGAATGGCTGGGTCATATGGTAGGTCTGTATTCAGACCTCTGAGGATATCTACACTGTCTTCCATAGTGGCTTTACCAGTTAACACTGCCACTAACAATGGATTAGGGTACCTTTCCCCCCACATCTTCACCAACATTTGTTGATTTCTGTGTGAAAGCCAGTCTAACTGGGATGAGGTGAAACTTCATGTGGTTTTGATCTCTATTTCTCTGATGGCTAGCGATCCTGAGCATTTTCTCATGTGTCTGCTGGCTATTTGGATTTCCTCTTTTGAAAAATGTCTAAGTCCTTTGCCCATTTAACGGGATTGTTTGTTTTGTTGTTGTTGAATGTCTTGATCTCTTTTATATATTCTGGTTATTAATCCTTTATCAGTTGTATAGTTGGTGAATATTTTCTCGCATTCTGTTGGTTGTCTCTTCACCTCGCTGATTGTTTCTTTTGTAGAGCAGAAGCTTCTCAGTTTGATGTAATCCAATTTGTCGATTTTGGCTTTGATTGCCTGTGCTTTCAGAGCATTTTCCAAGAAGTCTTTGCCTATGCTGATATCTTATAGGGTTTCTCTGATGTTCTCTAATAATTTGATGGTGTTGGGTCATAGATTTAGGTCTTTAGTCCATTTTGAGTGGATTTTGGTGAAAGATGTCAGGTTAAGGTCTTGCTTTATGCTTCTGCATGTGGCGATTCAGTTTTCCCAGCACCATTTGTTGAAGAGACTGTCCTTGCCCTAGGGGTTGATTTTAGAACCTTTGTCAAAAATAAGTTGTTTGTAGATGCTTGGGTTGATTTTGGGT